ATGCGCCACCATGCCCAGCTATGTTTTTCTATATGTATTAGTTGGCCAATTAATTTCTTTCTATTTTTAGTAGAGACGGGGTCTTGCTCTTGCTCAGGCTGGTTTCGAACTCCTGCCCTTGAGCAATCCTCCCACCTCGGCCTCCCGGAGTGCTAGGATTACAGGCGTGAGCCACCACGCTCAGGATAACCATTAACAGTTTTACACACTCATAATTTTTTACATAATGTTAATTGAATGTACTACCTACTGAAAACTACAGAAACAATAAATGTATAGCTTGATGATAAATTTTCAGTCACCTAGTTCAAGAAATACTAATTGCATGCAGCCTGCCTCATACCTTCTCTCCCAGTCACCTATCTCTGCTACTATGCTGACTTAAGTAATCACCATCCTATGTTCTAACACCATAAATTGTTTTTGCTTGCTTTTCACTTTTGTATAAATGGAATCATACTCAGTGTGTCTTGCTGCTTTTACCCTGTGTTATATATCGTGAGATCCATCCATGCTGTTGCTTAGCAGCAATGGTTGGTTCTCATTTGCTGTATAACATCCATCATGTGATACGCCACAATTAAAATCATTCAGTTTATGGTTGGCTGACTCGGTGTCTCACGCCTATAATCATAGCACTCTGGGAGGCCGAGGCGGATGGATTGCTCAAGGTCAGGAAATAGAAGAAATTAATTGGCCAATTAAAAATATATAGAAAAAAATTAGCCGGGCATGGTGGCGTATCCTGTAGTCCCAGCTACTCAGGAGGCTGAGGCAGAAGGCTTGCTTTGAGCCCAGGAGTTTGAGGTTGCTGTGAGCTAGGCTGATGCCATGGCACTCACTCTAGCCTGGGCAACAAAGCAAGACTCTGTCTCAAAAAAGAAAAACAGTTTACGATCATTTGGGTTGTTTGCAAATCAAGGAAATTATCGATAGTGCTGCCGTAAACATTCTTTTACATGTCTTTAGGTTTAATAGATACTGTGAATCAGTTTACCAAAGAAGTTGTACCAAGTTATACTCTCACTATAAGTACATGAGAGTTTTATTATTGCATATCCTTGTCAACACTTGGTATTATCTACCTCTTTCATTTTAGCCATATTGGTATGTAGTATCATATTGTGGTTTTAATTTGTATTTCCTTCTAATAATGAAATTAAGCACATTTTCATGTTTGTTAGTCACTTGGATATCTTTTATGAAGTCTAATATTTTTGCTTCTTTTCATTTTGGGTAGCCTATCTTAAGTTTGTTGTCAGATATATTTATTATAAATATCTTTCCTCACCCTAGTTTTTTGCTTCTATAATGGTGTCTTCATATGAGCTGACTGTACTTAATTTCAGTGTAGTCTTTTTTTCCACAGATTCTACTTTTCTAGTGAATTCTTGAATTTGTTTTAACTGTTTTCTCTGTCTTCCAAATATATAAAACTATTAATCATTCTTATTTTAATGCCCTTTTTTATAACTCCAGTATTTGGGTCATGTATACATCTTTTTCTCCTTTTCTGTCAGTTTCTAGTTATTTGATTCTCTTTGGTGGCATGCTTGATAATTTCTAAAAAATTGTTTAGGCTCTGAAAGGTATCATCTTGCTATAGACAAGGTTCATCTTTTCTTCTGCTTGGCAGATAGAGTAGGGTCTGACAACCTAATCTACTCAGGGAATGGCATAACTTTTTAGGCTTTTAATTCTTTTGGTGTAAGTCTCCTTGTATCTCTAGTTCGCTTTGGTCTCTAAGGCATAGCCCCCTCCATGGATTCCATCTGAAACCTTGGAGTGTTCATGAGGGCTTCTCTACCTTGGTGGTTCGCAAATGTTAATCCTTGCCTCCTAAGTGCAATAAGACTGCCAAAAATTCCCTTTTACTTTTTAAAGTCTTTCTGCTTAGCTTTTTATTTTTATTTTATTTTTATTTTTTTGAGACAGAGTCTCACTTTGTTGCCCAGGCTAGAGTGAGTGCCGTGGTGTCAGCCTGGCTCACAGCAACCTGAAACTCCTGGGCTCAAGCGATCCTCCTGCCTCAGCCTCCCGAGTAGCTGGGACTACAGGCATGCGCCATCATGCCTGGCTAATTTTTTCTATATATATTAGTTGGCCAATTAATTTCTTTCTATTTATAGTAGAGCTGGGGTCTTCCTCTTGCTCAGGCTGGTTTTGAACTCCTGCCCTTGAGCAATCCTCCCGCCTCGGCCTCCCAGAGTGCTAGGATTACAGGCATGAGCCACCACGCCCGGCTTCTGCTTAGTTTTTTATACTCCTGTGTAGCATTACATTTGAAGTACGGTAGCAGCAATTAAAGAAAAATTAAATGAAAAATTTTAGATATTGATAAGGGATTTTGACTATCATATGAATATATGAAAAGAGTTAAAATTTTCTTGTAGTTTAACAACAAAATGTAGTTATCAGTCTTTCATTTAATTCCTGATTACTGTTTCCAGTAGAAAAATTATGTACAGAAGAAATGTGGCAAGTCTTTTTTTGGCCCCCTTCCCCTCCCATTTTTTGTGGCAAGTTTTGTTAGAGGCTAAAGGTGAATGGAAAAATCAAATATTCTTAAAACAGTTGATTTCATAAAATAAATATGCAGAAGTTTTCTGCTTCTGCCAGTGAAGCATGAATAGCTATAGGAATTGATATTTTGCTGTAAACAATTAAAAAATGGGACTGTTAAACAATGAGCTCAGCATTATTCCTCAAAGAAGGGAAACAAATAAAATGAGCCCTACCATTGTCCCAGGCTGCTGCGTGGGGACATTTTACAGGTCAAAGATTAGCAATGGAGAGATCCCAAACAGATACTGTCAACATACACGTCATGTTCAGCAGTGTAGAGGAAAACATGAACTTGAGAGAAATGGAAGATACTAATATAGAAGACCCACGTTGAACTTTATTAATAGATGAAATGAACTTGTAGAATGAAAAAGATGACTAAATTGAAAAGTTGAGTGGATACAATTAACAGTAATTAGTGCTCTAAAAAGAAAATCAGTGAAATAGGAACAGAAACTGTTTAAACTAAAACACGAGGAAAAAGACTATAAAAACAATGCATGAGAAACTTATGGAACAGAATCAAGCAATCTAATATATATTACTGGAATATCACTAAAGAGCAGAAAAAATATTTGAAAATATAATGAAATTTTTCCATATTTGATCCAAACTCAACCCATAAATGTAAAAAAAAGCTAACAATTTCCAAGCAATAGAAACATAAAACCATACAAAGCCACATCATATCAGATTACTGAAAGTCGGTGATGATTACAAAATCTTAAAAAAATAACCAGAGAGAGAAAAGACATCACATAGAAAGGAATAAGAAATAAGAATGGCAGCAGACTTCTTAACAGTACGCCATGCAAACTAGAAGAAATCTCTAAAATCCTGAGATGGAGAGGTATCTCTAAAGCAATGAAAGTTAAAAGTAAAATATATATCTCATACTATTTCTCTCTAGCACTTCTGTGTACAGGCAACAATTGGAATTGGAAATGTAGAATCAATATTATTTACAATAACAGAACATATGATATACTTAAGGAAAAACTATATATAAATGTAATGAGGTATTACTGAAGAAATTAAAGACGACCTAAATGGTGAGATACGCAACTTTAAGGAATCAGAAAATTCATTATTGTTAAGATGTCAATTCAGCCCAAATTGTTCTGTACATTGAATGCAGTCCTAATCAAAATCCTAGCAGCCTTTTTGGTAAAAGGTAACAGACTGATTGAAAATTTATATGAAAATGTAACGACCTAGAAGATGAAAACAATATTTAAAATAAGAGCAAAGTTGGGAGACTTACTGTACCCAAGTTCAAGACTTCTTATAAAGCTGTAGGAAAAGACAATGGTTTTGACATAGGATAGATAACAGATAAGTGGACAGACTAAAGAATACACATGTGGTCCAATGGCTTACAATAAGCATGCCATGGTAATTTAATAAAAAGTTTTTCAACAAATGTTGCTGGACTAATTACAAGAAAAGGTGAACTCCAGCACTTACTTCACACCATATACAAAAATTAACTCAAAATGGATTGTAGACCTAAATACAAACACTAAGAATAGAAGGCATCTACAAGAAAATGGTATAATTATGCTGTGTAGAAAACTGATACAGAATTTTAGGCCTGGCACGATGGCTCACGCCTGTAATCCTAGCACTTTGAGAAGCCAAGGCGGGTGGATCCTTTGAGTTCAGGAGTTCGAGACCAGTCTGAGCGAGAGTGAGACCCGTCTCTACTAAAAATAGAAAGAAATTAGCTGGATAGCTAAAAATATATAGAAAAAATTAGCCGGGCATGGTGGCGCATTGCCTGTAGTTCCAGCTACTTGGGAGGCTGAGGCAGGAGGATTGCTTGAGCCCAGGAGTTTGAGGTTGCTGTGAGCTAGGCTGATGCCACAGCACTCTACCTAGCCCAGGCAACAGAGTGAAACTCTGTCTCAAGAAGAAAAAAAGAAGGAAAATTGATATAGGATTTTAATGAGCTTAATTAAATTTGTCTTAAGGTTTTCTTAAAATTCTAACTTAAAATATCAGAGTAGTGTCAGGGTTTTTTTTAATAGCTTTATTACATTCTTCAGTCTTTAAAAGCCAGTGTCTTAATGGGTTTCTTTCAGTTGTACATTTCATTTTATGAAGGCAAGTTTCTGTTCTCAAGTGATAATTTGTGTATTTTATACATTTATGTCTATTGTATATTTATACATTTTGTATTTGGATTCACTGTGAGTCAATCCCTACTCAATTTTATGGGTCTACTATTGGATTTTCATGAAATTTTGGTCATATTGAATTGGTAATACCTGGGGTTTCTTTGGTGTTTTATTTTAAGATTGCCATTTCCTCAAAAATTGTTCAGTAAACATGTTATGGAAAGTTAAGCTAGAGGAACTCTAACCACTAATTGCATGTTTAAGCCTGATGATGCATGTTTAGTTTATTTTTGTTTTTAATTTTTTTTATTTTAGTAACAATGATGATGTTATGTTGATTTCTGTGGAAAGTCCTAATTTGACAACTTCAATTACATCAGATCCAACAGGTATCTTAAGTTGATTAGAATATGATCATCAAATTAGAAAGCCTTAAATCAATGTTTGTTTAAAATAATTGAATATCATAAGTTTTAAATGTACTCAAAAATGTTCTAACTTTTAATTAATATTACCTAAATAAATGATTTCTTACTATAATTGACATTTCTTTTTAACCTTGTGTTTTATTAGCTTATGGCCTATTTTGTTACTGTGTTTAGCGACTTTGCAAGTTATAAAACTACTTAGCTTTCACATACACTATTTTTAATTGTTTGCCTTGGCCTTCTGTTGGTGGTAGTGGTGGTTTGCTTTTTGCACTTTTTTTTGTATTAAGTTTTCTCATAGTCTACTCGAGATTTAAACTTTAATTTCTTTGATTGTTTTTAACACTTTTGTTGCTTTTTAGAGTTTGTGTCTTACCACACTTACATAAAGAATTTTAACCTGAAATTTCCAATGATAACTTTTTCCTTTCTTAAAATAGCCATCCTGTTTGGCTCATAATTTCTCATCCAAAATTTTCCATTTTCTTTTCTTTTCTTTTTTTTTTTTTTTTTTGAGACAGACTCTCACTCTTTTGCTCGGGCTAGAGTGCCATGGCATCAGCCTAGCTCACAGAAACCTCAAACTCCTGGGCTCAGGCGATCCTTCTGCCTCAGCCTCCTGGGTAGCTGGGACTACAGGCATGTGCCACCATGCCTGGTTAATTTTTTCTATACTTTTACTTGGCCAATTAATTTCTTTCTATTTTTAGTAGAGAGGTGGTCTCGCTCAGGCTGGTCTTGAATTCCTGACCTTGAACGATCCTCCTGCTTCAGCCTTCTAGACTGCTAGGATTACAGTTGTGAGCCACCACACCCGGCCCCATAATTTCCCATTTTCATTTCATTTTTTTTACTGTATTGTAGTTATATGCATCTTAATTTCAGAAAGCTTTGCCGATACTTTATTGTCCTGACAGTTTGGGCTGTTGAGATTGTAAATCAGAGAGTTACTAAAAAGTTGTTAATCATTTATCTGACACTTCCTACTGGTTCCAGGAAGAGTGCTTCTTAGCTATCTCAGGCAATTTATTCTAAAGATACTGTGAATACAAAATGTGCATTTTCAAGTGTATTTTCTCAAATACTAAAATCATTTTCAGGTTTTAAAAAAAAGGGTTACTAATAAAATTATAAAGAAGGGAAAAAATCTTTTGGCTCAAAAAATCTACCTTTTTTAAAAGTTGGATCATCAACCTTTAGAATAGGTAAAGTCAATTGAGTTACTTTTTATGATTATATAATTAGCATCGCATTGTGTTTCAGCATTCATATATTACAAAGTTCATAAATTGTTTAATAAGCTTGTCAAATATATTAATATTTCAATAATTTTCTTTTCAGATATTAGAAAAATTATGTCAGGAAATTCCAGCGATCCACCTAATGCTGAAACTGAAGTTACGGTGGGTAATAAATATTGTCTGAATACTGCTCATTTAAATATGTTAGTTATAGGAACTTTAGTGTTTGCTACATGTTGGAGGACTTAAGTCATTCTTTAGGTGATTCATTCTCTGAGAAATTAGTGTCTGACTAGTTAGCCTAACCAGGTTCCAATTTAGCTTACACATTGAAAAGCAGACAGCTAATGATGAACATATTTCACAAACATATTCATTTATTAAATTCATTTAGACTCTGCCTAGTCATAGTCTCAGAAACCAAACAGTCTTTTATAAGAGCTTTTTTTCCATAGTAGTTTCATAGGAAAGTAAACCATAAGATATTTAGAGAATGTTCAATCTCTTGTTTCTAAATGATACTTATGTGTTTCATTTTTAAAAAACATTTTTAGCTATTCAAGCTCAAACCTTATTTTTTAAACAATTTTTTAGGCTGTACAGAAGAAACTTGTTTCTGTAATTGATTTGACAAGAGAAGGCCTATCTAACTATAACACAGGTAAAAGATTTTTTAATTTTTCTGTTTGTTAAAAAAGGGAAGGGTAACAAATCAAAACTCACTGGACCCACTTATGGAGTTTGTTTTAATATGTTAGTGTACATTTTGTTTATAGTTCTACGCAATTTTACTGTGCGTGGATTCATGTAACTACCGCCATAATCAAAGTACAGAACTATTCTGTACATTTATAGCCACACCTACCTCCTGCCCCCTAATCCCTGGTAAACACTAATCTGTTTTCATCACTATGATTACATTATTTCACAAATATAATATTAGTTTTATAATACAATATGTGTCTTTCTGAGATCGGGTTCTTTCACTCAGCATAATTTTCTTGAGGGTCATCCACATTGTTGTTGCTATGTATCAGTAGTGTTTCCGTTTATTGCCATGAGTAGCCCACGGTGTGGATATATCATAATTTGTTTATCCATTCACCCACTGATTTTTTTTTTCTTCAAAAATAAAAATATTTTCTTTTCCTGCACTCCTTTTTGAGAATCCATTCACCCGTTGAAAGACATCTGGGTTGTTTGGGGTTATTATAATCTCTTTTATTCTTGTGGTACACACTTTTTTTCTGTAACCATTACAACAGCAGCTGAGAGGATACACACAGAAACAGGTCTGGGACATGACATCAAAATGTAGAGGGAGAATGACAAAACAGTGTCCTTTTTCTCAGATTTTAGTCAAAAAAAGTAAAATATAATCATCTGGGGCTGGGAACCAGTTATAAGGCCTCATCAAAATATTATGAAAAATATTGGCCAGGCTAGGTGGCTCACGCCTGTAATCCTAGCACTCTGGGAGGCCGAGGCAGGCAGATTGCTCAAGGTCAGAAGTTCAAAACCAGCCTGAGCAAGAGCGAGACCCCGTCTCTACTATAAATAGAAATAAATTAATTGGCTAACTAAAATATATATAGAAAAAATTAGCCGGGCATGGTGGTACATGCCTGTAGTCCCAGCTACTTGGGAGGCTGAGGCAGCAGGATTACTTGAGCCCAGGAGTCTGAGGTTGCTGTGAGCTAGGCTGACGCCACGGCACTCACTCTAGCCTGGGCAACACAGCGAGACTCTGTCTCAAAAAAATATATATATATGAAAAATATAAACCCACATGTCCAAGATGTTCAATAAATTCCAAATAGAAAGGCAATCAAATGACATTATTAAAAGGATTGGAGAAAATTACTGTCAACCTAGAATTCTATATCTAGCAAATATGTCTTTTAAAAATGGAAGAATATCTGCTGAAAAACTGTTAAAAAAAGAAAAAAAATAAAAATGGAAGAAAATTAAGACTTTTTCAGATAAACAATTTATTGCCAGCAGATCTTTGCTATCAGAAATGAAGATCTTTAAGTAACAGTAAAATGATAAAAGATGGAAAGTGGGTCTACATAAAAGAATATAACACCTATTGTAAAGTTTGTGTAGAAGTTTATATATGACAGTAGTTGTACCAAAGATGATCAGAGGAACAAAAGTATGCTGTTTTAAGGGTCTTTACATTGTATGAGAGTGGAGTAGTATTTGAAAGTAAACTATGATAAGTTAAAGATATATATGGTAATGCCTAGAGCAACAGTTTTTCCTTCAAGTGGAAGTAGAGTTAATAAACCAATAGTGGAGATAAAACAATTTAAAAAATATTCAATCCGAGAGAAGCCACAAACAAGCAGACAGAACAAATGAGACTAACAGAATAAAAGGGCGAAATTACAGAGTTAAACTTCACTATACTGATAATAAATGTAAATGGTCTAAACACTCCATTAAAAAGCAGACATTGTTAGACTGGATAACGAATTAATAGTCAACTATATGATTAAGAGATGTGCTTTATTTTATTTTGTTTTATTTTTTTGAGACAGAGTCTCACTCTGTTTCCCAGGCTAGAGTGAGTGTCGTGGAGTCAGCCTAGCTCACAGCAACCTCAAAACTCCAGGGCTCAAGCAATGCTGCTGCCTCAGCCTCCCGAGTACCTGGGACTACGGGCATGCGCCACCATGCCCAGCTAATTTTTTGTATATATATTAGTTGGCCAATTAATTTCTTTTTACTTATAGAGACGGGGTCTCACTGTTGCTCAGGCTGGTTTCGATCTGACCTCGAGCAATCCGCCCGCCTTGGCCTCTCAGAGAGCTAGGATTACAGACCTGAGCCACCGTGCCCAGCCAGAGATGTGCTTCAAATATAAATACGCAAATACATTAAAGAGGATAGAAGATAAACCATGTAAAAGGATGCAAACACTAATTATAAGAAAGTTAGAGTGGCTGTATTATTGGACAAATATACTTCAGAATAAGTAATAAGAAAGGCTGTTTCATAATGATAAAGCAGGTATTTCATCAAAAAGAGTAGGCCGGGTGCAGTGGCTCACGCCTATAATCCTAACACACTGGGAGGCCCGAGGCGGGAGGGTTGCTTGAGGTCAGGAGTTCGAAACCAGCCTGAGCAAGAACGAGACCCCGTCTCTACTATAAATAGAAATTAATTGACCAACTAATATATATAGAAAAAATTAGCTGGGCATGGTGGCACATGCCTGTAGTCCCAGCTACTCGGGAGGCTGAGGCAGCAGGATTGCTTGAACCCAGGAGTTTGAGGTTGCTGTGAGCTAGCTAGGCTGATGTCCGGCACTCACCCTAGCCTAGGCAACAAAGCGAGACTCTGTCTCAAAAAAAAGTACACTACATGTATATGCACTCACTAGTGGAGCTTCAAAATACCTGATGCAAAATTGATAGGAATGAAATGATAAATAGAAAAATAATTATAATTAGTAATTAGAGATTCCAGTACTCCTCAGTACTTGATGCAATTTGTAGACAAAGACAATAAGGCCTAAGCAACAGTATCAACCAGTATAACCTAATTAACATTTATAGAACACTAAACTCCATCATAATAGAATTCTTTTAAATGCATATGAAACCTGCAATAAGAGCTTAGGGTCTTGTAAAACAAGTCCCAGTATATAGAAAAGGATTGTAATCATACAGAATATATTCTCTCCTTTTTTTTTTTTGAAACAAGAGTCTCCCTTTGTTGCCCAGGCTAGAGTGAGTGCCGTGGCGTCAGCCTCGCTCACAGCAACCTCAAACTCCTTGGCTCAAGCAATCCTACTGCCTCAGCCTCCCGAGTAGCTGGGACTACAGGCATGCGCCACCATGCCTGGCTAATTTTTTCTATATATATTAGTTGTCCAATTAATTTCTTTCTATTTATGGTAGAGACGGGGTCTCGCTCTTGCTCAGGCTGGTCTCGAACTCCTTACCTCAAGCAATCTTCCCGCCTCGGCTTCCCAGAATGCTAGGACTACAGCTGTGAGCCACTGCGCCTGGCCCAGAGTATATTCTCTGACACAACAGAATTAAATGAGTAGTTTATAACAGAGATAGCTAGAAAATCCCAAAATATTTGAAAATGAAATACACTTCTTAATAACCTCATGAGCCAAAGAAGAAATCTAAAAGTGAAATTAGAAAATGCTCTGAACTGAATGAAAAGAAAAGCAAACATATCAGACTTTGTGGAATGCAGCAAAAGCAGGTCTTAGAGGGAAATTACTAGCATTAAATGTTTATATTAGAAAAATTAGAAGATCTAAAATGAATGTATGATGCTAAGAGAAGAGTAAATTAGACCCAAAGCAAGTAGGTGACACTTTATTAAATCTAAGGGGTTGGCAAATAAGCACAGGAACATATCCTCAACATCATTATTCATTAGAGAAATTAAGACATGATACTGCTACATACCCAAAAGAATGACCAAAATGAAAACTACTGAAAACATGAAGTGTTGGTGAGGATGGTAGAACAACCTTGGATTCTCATTATTTTCATTCAGATACGAATGTAAAATCACCTTTGAAGTAGTTTAGCAGTTTTCTTAAAACATTAACTATACCTTTACTATATGACTTTATATTTTACTCTTTTAAGTATTTACCAAAAAGAAATGAAAACCTACATCTACCACAGAGTTTTATACACTTGTTCATAGCAGCTTTATTCCTAATTGAGAACTAGAAACAGTCCAAGTGTCTGTCAACAGGCAAGTGGATAGATTGTGGAATTAGCTATACAACTAAACACTAAATAAATATAAGTGAACAAAATGTTGATATATGCAACTACATGTTCCATATATGCTTCAGAAACATGCTGGGGAAAATAATTGTACATGTTATGTTATTCAATTTATATGAAATTTTAGAAAAGACATGTAATCTTTAGTGACAATACACAAGTGGTTTCGTGGAGTTAGTGGTGAGAGGGATTGACTGAGAAGGGGACATTAAACAACTTTTGGGTTAATAATGTTCTGTGTTTGTATTTTGGTGATTGTTTCCCAAATGTTTATATATATTTGTCAAAATTCAAAGAACTGCATACTTAAAATGGGTATAAATTATAGATTATGTCTCAATAGATCACTTCAAAAATACAAACTTTAAAAGCCATGCTTTCTTTGTTGAGAGTTCTCTTAAAAAAACAAAACAAAACCTTGTTTTGGCATTGTAGCTCAGTTGTAATCCCGACACTTCGGGAGGTGAGGAGGTTAACCATAACCTGCAGATTATGATTTTACAAATCTAGTTCTAGTTAATTAAACCAGTATGAAAAGGCAGTACAGATTCTCTTAGATTAAGACCATAAAGTCATTTAATTCTTCTGGAAAGATTTTTTTAATGCCAGTGAATAAAAAGACTTATAAATTTACCTTTCAAACATAATGCAGAATCTTGTTCATCCTTATCAGTCAAAATAAAAATAATTTAATTTTGGGATTCATAAAGCACATTAAATAGTTATATCACTAGTCATGCAATGGACCTAAAATGGTTTTACTGCTTCTTAGATATGTTCAAATTTCTGGCACTTTCAGTTATCCAACTCTAATACTTTCTACCATGAAGCCCCTTTTCTTATCTATATTTATTCTCCCCAGTTTTTTTTTTTTGTTGTTGTTTTGAGACAGAGTCTCGCTTTGTTGCCTAGGCTAGAGTGAGTGCCATGGCGTCAACCTAGCTCACAGCAACCTCAAACACCTGGGCTCAAGCAATCCTGCTGCCTCAGCCTCCCGAGTAGCTGGGACTACAGGCATGTGCCACCATGCCCGGCCAACTTTTTCTATATATATTAGTTGGCCAATTAGTTTCTTTCTATTTATAGTAGAGACGGGGTCTCGCTCTTGCTCAGGATGGTTTTGAACTCCTGACTTCGAGCAATCCGCTGGCCTGGGCCTCCCAGAGAGCTAGGATTACAGGCGTGAGCCACCGCACCCGGCCTCCGGTTTTTAAACCATTCTTGTGCCTACTTCCACCTTCTTTCTTTCCCTCCCACCCCCTTTTTTTCTGCCCACCCCCTTTCTTCCTCTCACCGTCTCTCTCTTCCATTTTCCTTTCTGTCCCTCTCTCCTCCCCATCCTTTTCCCCAGGCCACAGTTTATACCTAATTCCCTCCAGATTAACACAGACCCTATCAGAGATTTCTTTAACTTTGAGAAAAAAGAAAAAGAAAAGGAAAGGAAGAAAACTTCTAGCCTGCATGATTCTTAGTTTGAATTCCTAGGACTTATGTGTCTCATATTCATACATGATTATAAATGTCTCTGTTTTTGTGGATATCTTTGACCTACTAGAAGAAAATTTGCCTCTAAGATCATTGAACAGGGATCCCTCTCCTATGTGTAGATGTACCTAGTTCCTGGTTGCATAATGACCAAAGTATTTACCTTAAGAAGGGAATTTCTGTCACCCTAAAGGAAAATTTTCTGGATTTGTTACCTTTGGGCCTTATCAAAAGTGTATCTTCATATTTCACAGTCTTGTAAGTTTAGTTCACATTTATTTACTATCCAAGAGTTAAAAGTATTTGCTTAAAGGCTATGGAATTATTACAGATAAATTTTACTTTTTAAACTTTGTATTGTTCACAGAACATCCAGTATCCACCCTGGAATCACCTTCAAAAGCTGTTTTAAACTCAAAAGAAACAACCCTAGCCACACAAAATGCAGCCCAGGTACTGATATGAATTGCTCTGTATCAGCTATTCATTCCAAATTGAGTGGGAAGTACCTTATTTTACTCTGAAGAAATATTTGAGTCACATTTCAGCTTAAAAAAACACTTTAATGTGCTTTTAAAAATGTGCTATTGGCCGGGCGCGGTGGCTCACGCCTGTAATCCTAGCTCTCTGGGAGGCCGAGGCGGGCGGATTGCTCAAGGTCAGGGGTTCAAAACCAGCCTGAGCAAGAGCGAGACCCCATCTCTACTATAAATAGAAAGAAATTAATTGGCCAACTGACATATATATATATAAAAAAATTAGCCGGGCATGGTGGTGCATGCCTGTAGTCCCAGCTACTCAGGAGGCTGAGGCAGAAGGATCGTTCGAGCCCAGGAGTTTGAGGTTGCTGTGAGCTTGGCTGACGTCACGGCACTCACTGTAGCCTGGACAACAAAGCAAGACTCTGTCTCAAAAAAAAAAGAAAGTGCTATTGTGAATCTACTTACACAATTAAAATAATTCAATTCAATTTTACACTACAGGAATTTAAAAACATTTTTTTCATCCAACAAATTGGATAAGCATTTTTTTTTTTTTTTTTTTTTTTTGAGACAGTCTCACTTTGTTGCCCAGGCTAGATAGAGTGAGTGCCGTGGCGTCAGCCTGGCTCACAGCAACCTCAATCTCCTGGGCTCAGCGATCCTCCTGCCTCAGCCTCCCGAGTAGCTGGGACTACAGGCATGTGCTACCATGCCCGGCTAATTTTTTTTTTCTATATATGTTAGTTGACCAATAAATTTCTTCCTATTTTTTTTTTTTTATAGTAGAGATGGGGTCTCGCTCAGGCTGGTTTTGAGCTCCTGATCTTGAGTAATCTGCCTGCCTCGGCCTCCCAGAGTGGTAGGATTACAGGCGTGAGCCACCGCGCCCAGGCAGCCTCACATAATTCTTGAAATATCCTTTTATTATTCTTACAAAAGGATTGAAGAATGGGAAATACATATTTTTACAACTGCTGTTGACCACTTTAAAATAATTGATACCCACCAAGCCAGCTTGCTTAACTTTTTTACAAATGTGTTTTTAGGTTCTTGAGTCCTTTGAGCACCTGCCACCTCTCCCAGAACCACCACCACTACTACCTGAACTGGTGGACAAAATCCGAGACACACTTCCTCCCCAGAAGCCTGAGCTCAAAGTGAAACGGGTTTTGAGACCCAGGGGCATTGCCCTGACTTGGAACATCACCAAAATCAATCCCAAGTGTGCTCCTGTGGAAAGCTACCACCTCTTCCTGTGTCATGAGATCCCTAATAATAAGCTGATTTGGAAGAAAATCGGAGAAATTAAAGCTTTACCACTCCCGATGGCATGTACTTTATCTCAATTTTTAGCTTCCAACAAATACTATTTTACTGTCCAATCAAAAGACATTTTTGGGCGATATGGACCATTTTGTGATATAAAATGTATCCCTGGGTTTTCTGAAAATCTTACCTAAAGTCTTTAATAATTACATATTATACTACATGTTTTGTTTTTTTTATATTGGAGTCATTTGTTTACAATATTATACTAAGACTATTTGTCATTTTTAAAGGCCAGTTCAGATTGTGAACCCTTTGTATAGGGACAGTCCTATATGTTGTAAATGGCTTATAGTTTCATGAATTTCTGATTTGTATTAAATGTGTACTTACCATGGATATGTTATAAAAGCTACATTATCATGGACCCATATCACTAAGGTATATTATGAACAATACCTTCGGTGACTATGGAGCTGCTGCTTATATTAGAAGCTGTAGGATACAAGCAGCCACTGTCTCCTATGGACAGCCTTCCCACTTGTGGTCAGTTTAGCTACAGGAAAATTGCCTCTTTACTGAGGCCAGATCATCCCTGGGGTGCCTCTCCACCAAGATTTTGTAAAAATATCTTCCCTTGGGCGCCTCTCTTCTTTTTTTATGTTTGTTTTTTTTTTTTTTTTTTTTTTTTTTGCTATGTCATTCGGGAAAATAGTCTGGAGGTTTTCCCTAAATCTGTTTGTAGACTTAGATGAAATAAAATTTGTTAAACATTGTGTGCTGTGTACACAAAACCATACAGTATCTCATATAAAAGCATTATCCACCCTGTTTCAGCTGAGGAGAAGAATTGTCCACCTTAGATTTATGGCTTTAATTTGCTGATTCCTAAGTACTACCCTTTGCTCATTTTCCAGCTGCTATCAGTACTCAGAGAACATAACACTAAGGATTTTATGCATACCTCTACCTGCAGGAACACTGAAGTGAAGCTGTGACTCTTATGAGCAGCTCAGGAAACTCTGAACATGTGCACAGAGACTCGATAAGTATAAGTCAGGGCCCAGTAGAGGCAAACTTTGGGTAACTAATACTGGGGTGTTGAGAAACAAAAATAGCCTTCACGCTGTGCAAGAGTGGCATTGTTTTCTGGTACCTAGTGAATGTTCAGGCCTCAGAGGCTCTGAGATTTAAAAAATGAACAGGGAATGATTTTCCTTGGCATTTTGTAAATGCCTTCACATCTTTAGTAATAAATTTTTTTTTTTTCAGTCTCCTGTGTCTTTACTTTATAAAAAAACATTTTGTATGACTGAAAGATCCAGATTCTGAACTGTTGAGAGGAATTGTCCTCTGTGAGGTTTCGTTTCAGGCTCACAGCAGTGAAGAGTATCCTATAGCAGAACAAGGAACTCGTCCTGGGTGAGGATTTCACCCTTGGGTTGACATGGACAAGTGAAGCCCAAAGACCTGACATCATAAGACCTTGGTGCCCATCACCAAGGTGAAACCACTTCCCCAACCAGCAGGCATTTGGAAAGAGGTTGGGTGCACAAGTCTCAAGCGGATGAGCCTTCACGATCACAAGAAGAGGGAGAAAGGTTGATTGCAGACATCTTAGAGGAGGTGAATCAAGAAGCGTCAAAGCATCATTACTAGCCTTTTGGAGAGAGAGGCAGGGCAAGGTTCTCAACCATTAACTTGTCAATGACCCTAACCCTAAGGACAAAAAAAGTCATGCCAGCAGCCCCAGTACATAGCGCAGAGAACTAACACCCCCACTAACCCCATGATGTAGTGCTTACTGTTCTTTTAGTGGGAAGCCAAACTTAACCAAGTGAAAGTTGAATATATTGGGGAAAGGTCATAGGCTGGCTCATGGAATCACCAGGAAGCCTAGAGAATTGGGCTTAGAAGATAACATGGGCAGGGGTGGGTATGATGCTTTGCAACAACCCAATGAAGTTTCAAACCTAAGATAGTTTATGCAATTAATATTCTACCACACCATATGTCAGGCATTTTATGCCCATTTTAAAGCTGTAGAAACAGGCCTGGGGAGCTTAGAACATTGCCAAAGGTCACAGAAACCTAGCCCCGTGGTTCCTCAGTTCATGCTGCAGACATGAACTGTGGGAACTGGTCTGACAGAACAGGAAGAATTCACCACTGTCCTTGCTGTCTTGTGGCTCCAGATTGAAACCACAGACACAGTCTGATTGGTTTATCCTAAGGCGCATGTCTAAGCTATAAGGTGATAGGACAGCAAGCCTCTGGCATTTCTGATCTTCTGTAAGAAGTATACTCTGAAACCTTTAACAGGATTTCCTTCTCTGGCTGGTTCAAGGTTAGCATTGATCGTAAGACATTTCCTGAGATTTGGAGAGAAGTGAGGCAGCACCACATTTGGAAGAACAATGCAGGACATCAGAGGGTGACAGCCAGTAACACTTGTTGCTGATCTGATCTATTGGTCCCCGGGCCTGCAGCACCTACAGCTGCTGCCAGGGCCACCGCCAGCCTGTCCAAACACAGGGCACAGATGTGCTGCTGCACGCCTCTCCCACAGTGCACGATCTTCCTCTCTGACAGCCTGCCTGGCTGGCTGAGACTGAGGCTGACTCCACGCTCAACGCTAGACATGGCACAGTTTGCCCAGCCTTCTGCACCTGCTGTCACTAGATCAAGTCTAGCCCCGTAAGACATTCCTTGTCATATAGCATGGATGCAAGATCCCAAGACCCAGGAAGAGCAGCCTTGCTCCACGGAATTGAGTAGGCAGTAGCTTGCTAGGCTGTCCTAGAAAGCAGCACATCCCATTCGTGGTGCCGTGGAATGTGGACTTCACAAACACATCCTTGGGTCTAAAACTTAGTTCCAACACTTAACTGATTCGGGTAACTTGTTTTATGAGTCTACTTTCTCTCAGTGTGTAAAGTGAAGGTAGTGCTGACCTACATTTTTTTTTTTTTTTTTTTTTTTTTTTGAGATTGAGTCTCACTTTGTTGCCCAGGCTAGAGTGAGTGGTGCGGCGTCAGCCTAGCTCACAGCAACCTCAAACTTTAGCCTCCCAAGTAGCTGGGACTACAGGCATTCACCACCATGCCCAATGTTTTTTTTTTTTTAATATGTATATTAGTTGGCCAATTAATTTCTATTTATAGTAGAGACGGGGTCTCGCTCTTCCTCAGGCTGGTTTCGAACTCCTGACGTCAAGCAATCCACCCTCCTCTGCCTCCTAGAGTGCTAGGATTACAGGTGTGCGCCACCCAGCCCGGCCTCACCCCTCTTCTCTTTCCATATTTAACTGGTTATATACATGACCCCAAAAAGCCTAACAGATACAGAGCCATTGTAAGGAATTAATGAGTACAGTAAATTCTTAGAATTTATGTTGCCTTGGTTCCATTTTCAGTGTTGCCTTCCCACACCAGAAGCAGGGCTTATGGTTTCCAGCTCTCCACCTCCTCCCAGTTCCTCAGTGTGGCCCATCTGGATATCAGCCCTACACACCTGCCTTCCAGTGACCACCTCCCCATGGGGCAGCCAGATACGTACGACCTACTTGTCCCAGTAACCCTGCATCCCACGTGGACTGTGCAGATATGCCACAGTGGGTGACAACCTCTGGGCCACAGGGCACTTCCACGGAGCTGGTACCTGGTTGTTTAGCACCCACCAGTTAGAATTCCCCATGAGAAACCTTCTTGGGGACTGTCCTGGGCTCTAGTAAAGGTTTTGGTTCCATAGATCCTTCTCTCTCTCTCTCCCCACCTGCTGTGGAGCACCTGCTGCCTCTGGACTTCTGTCAGCCTTGTGGTCACTGCTCCTGTCTCTGGGACCTGTGAGCAGTACACCGCTTCTGCTACTTCACGTACTTTGTTGACCCAAACACCTGAACCCAACTGTCCTCCCAGTGAGGGCTCTCCTAGAGAGTGGCTCTCTGGGTACGAATAAGCTGGACACAGGCAGGCCAGAGAAGAGCCACAAGGGTGCCTTCCAGGATAAACGAGTTTCCCGTGAGGAGGACACCTCACCTTGGGTTGACACGCACCAGGCCCCCACCGGGATAAAGAAGTATCCCACGAGAGGCGTCATCGACACCCACGGCCACACCTCCCCTGGATGTCTGTCGGGGCAGGGCTAGAGTTTTTAGCCACTCTCCAGAGAGAGATGGCATGTCACTCAGAGGTGGCCATGGAGATAGAAAAATCTCTTAACCAAATCATAATATATGAACATATTCCCCATAGAAAATTATAAAGACAGCACACACACACACAGTCTCTTTTTACCACCACTCATTCCCAACTCACCCTGCCCACTAAAGAGGGAATCACTCTTACCAATTTGGGTATGTTTCCTTCCAAACTTTTCAGGGAACATATGACTATAGGGGCCTGACAAATTGCTCTCAAGCCTTCACCACTCCACATTTCGACCAACACTGTTTTTTTTATTGTTCATAAAGTGTGGCAAATTTTTAAATCTGATGAAATCCTGTGTCTGTTCTAGACTAATCTTATGTCCTGTTCTTTTGTTTGTTTGTTTGTTTTTGAGACAGAGTCTCACTCTGTTGCCCAGGCTAGAGTGAGTGCCGTGGCGTCAGCCTAGCTCACAGCAACCTCAAACTCCTGGGCTCAAGCGATTCTCCTGCCTCGGCCTCCCGAGTACCTGGGACTACAGGCAAGCACCACCATGCCCGGCTAATTTTTTTTATTTTTGGTAGAGAGGGGGTCTCGCTCTTGTTCAGGTTGGTCTCGAACTCCTGAGCTCAAACAATCCGCCCGCCTTAGCCTCTCATATGTCCTGCTGTTAATAAATCATTAGTCACAGGTGAATGGGGAAAAAAAATGTTTGGATTGAAAGGAGATCCAGTTTCCAGTTTCCCCTGGCCCTCATGAATACATAGCCCTGTGTAGGTAACTCTACCTCTCTGATTCTGCTTCCTCAACTAAAATTTAGATTACCAAAGTCTCAAAAATTCCAAAACACACAAGTTATATCAGAGTTGGAAGAATCTGAGAGCTCTTTGGAAGATTTGGGTGAGGTTCTTATGGGCAGCTTCATGGTTTGTTTATTTCAATTCAGTTCCGTATATTATGCCTTCGTTGGTGAGTATATCTATAGTGGTTACAGAAATATGCAGTGGGACTGACTTATTTTGTGTTTTTTTCCTGTTTATTACCTTATCTCTTTTGTTTGCTTATTTTTCTTCTTCCCTGCCTTCTGTTGAAATCTTTCTTTTCTTCCTTCTTAACAGCAATTTGATTG